TAAGCCACTTCTGGCGAACCAGAGCAACGCACGGAAACGCCGTTTACCTTCCCGCCAGAGCGGTACCTATTTATCTACTTGTACTTTGACGTGCTTTCGAACTGCTGGGTTGGGAGGAGCAGGGACCGAGCAACGGGAGCTCACCCCGTCACGGGGATTCGAATCACGGGGATTCGAACCGCCGACCTTCTGATCGGCAAGCCCTAGGCTCTGTGGTTTAGACCACAGCGCCACCCGTGTCCCAAGTGAACTCTTACAGACTAATGACTTTTATTCACTTCAGTTTTTGTATGCTAGAGAAAATTTGCTTTCCCTTTTTGTATTTGTTACAAATACAATGCATCATGTTCAACAACATACCTTGTCATTTCTAGCCAATCCTAGGGTTTCAAAAAGTACAATTCCTGACACCCGCAAAGTTGTTGAACTTTTTAAAAGAAGACCCCAACATGGTTGCTTTTCTTTAGAAACCCACCAAAATTCTTGGGTTTTGGCAGGGAACAGGCCCGAATTGTTGAGCTTTGGGGGGGGGGGGGAACCTACCCCAAAAAAGCAATTTTAAGCTTTTGAAGCTGTTTCTGGGTTTTCCCTGACATTTTGCAACTTCGGTAAAATTCCCCTCTGACGCCGTTTTTACACCTGATACCAGGACATGTCAGGAACTTTCCTGACATATGGCAAGCCTAGCCAATCCAGTATTTGCCTTCTAACCTGTCCATTAGTGGGCTTCCTCCTCCCTCTGGAAATCTGCTTAGATCAGTGTTGGCCGAACTTGGCCCTCCAGCTGTTTTCAGACTACAATTCCCATCATCCCTGACCACTGGTCCTGTTCGCTTGGGATGGTGGGAGTTGTAGTCCAAAAACAGCTGGAGGGCCAAGTTTGGCCACCACTGGCTGAAGTGAACTGCAAGAGACATTGCCTTAAGGTATGCAGTTTTGCCTAATATGCACATTTTTTTTTTGCAAACCAGTTTCCCCAAATGCATTTTCGTGTGTTATTTCCCCTTCGTATAGGAACTGAATCAAATTTCTCATCAGTGCTACTCTCCAGAGCCAGCCTGTTATGTACTGAAGTTCTCACCCTGGGCCGGCAGGGGGTTACTGTAGATAGTTTTCACTCAGGTCCGCATATGCAAATAAGGAATTGAAAGTGACGTTCAGTGATTGGATAGTTACAGAAAGTTGTTACTGTTGCTTTGTAGTGTAGTGGAGCTCTATATAAGCAGGTTGGCTGAACCCTTCAGTTCAGTTCTGTTCTGGCCTGTGAATAAACAAGAGCTGTCTGAAGAATCGTTGTGTCGTCTGATATGTTCGCCCACAACTTAACACAGCCCATTGACGAGGCAGAGTGAAGGACCTGCCTCAGGTGGTAGAAGTGGAAGAGGCGGTGCCACACCCACCGTGCCCTTTCTGCCATGGCTGGAACATTCCCCTCTCGTTGGCGAGAGGGAGGCGTTCCAGGATGTGGCAATGCCACTCGTCTTCCCTGCCCTGGGACAGAGAAGGCAAGTGGCGACACCTTGTGGGATGCCCTGTCTGTCATTTGGTAAGGGAGGGAGCATTTCTCGGCCTCAGATGGTGACATGGGACACCACTGGGACAGCCCTCTCCTGCTGCTCTCCACCCCTACTGTAACCATGGGTTTTAGACATTGGTAGCCTTGTCCTCTACAAAATTTAATGACTACACAAATCTCCGCTTTTTCTTTCTCCTCCTCCTCCCTCCCCACTTTTGTTCAACATCTTGCCTGATGAAGACTTCTTCGGGACTCGAAAGCTTGCAAACTTTCTTTCGTTTCCTTTAATACACACTTCCGAAATTAAATGCAGGGCAGCAGCCGTAATTCATTTCAAGGTTTTAGTTAAAGACAAGGTTCCTCACTCCTCAGCCCTGCATGAAAATCTCAGGATGGAAGTAGTTCAGACATGCTGCAGATTTATTACTTGTAAAGTAATAGAAAATCCTTTTCACATTAGATTCCATCAGTATGTAAGTTCCCCGAGAAAACCAATTATGTAAAACTGATTGCAAGGCATTCTTTGGGCTAGGAAATTAAATCCACCTGGACTTCAGCAGAACTTCCTTGCTGCATATTTCTGACATTTTATCTCTCGTGGAAATTAAATTTAGGGCATGGAAGTACCCCCAGTTGCAAAATCAAATCCTGTGTGTCTCTGAAAGGAATCGGGGACATGTGGTTAGGAGTCTTAGTTAGCATCTTGCTCAGACAGGTATAGGCAGCACCTTGGGATGCCAAACTGGAATGCATTTGCACATTCCCACTGCTTTACACAGAACCACCTGGGACCCGTACATCTTAGGTAGTCTAGTACTGCAAAGATATGCTTGTTTACACGGGAATAAATCCTACTGAGAGCGACATGGGTGCTTACTCCCAAGCAAGTGTGCACAGGGTTGCATCTGAGGCGCAGGGCTTGCATATTTCTTCCCAGATGTGTTGTGTGGCATAGGACACAGTGAGCTGACTGTGCATTGTCCTTAATTATAGCTGAGCTTCCAGATTCCCCTTTTCCTTAGCCTAGGTGAAGTCTTGCTGCAGGCCTGTGCTTAGAGCCCTACCAGGAAGCTATAAATAGCCGCCTTAGTCAATCTGTTTCATTATCAACACACTGGAGGAGTTTGAATTAAGGCTATGGGAGAAGCTCTGCCATTCCAGATGAAGGAAATCTACAGTCAGGCGTCCTGTTTCCTACAATGGCTAACTAGATGCCAATGGGAAGTCCACAGGCAAGACGTGAGTACAATAGCTCCTGGTTCAGCAAACTACGATGCATGTATATTTCCTGTCTTGGGGGAAAGCTTAGCACTGCATCTTATTCCTTATGGACACTGAAGAGGTAGAACTTCCCTTTCTGTGTAAAGGTGTCAATAACCACACTAATATGACTCTCCTAGCCTCTCCTGCTGGTGGTCGGCTGTCAGCAAGTGAATACCATTTTCCAGCAGAGAATGCAATTTATAAATGCCCAGACTGATTGACAGAGACATTTTTAAGCATGCACCTAAGAATAAAGCCAAACAATGCATTTGCAAACACATGTATCCTGCAGGGTCTGCCTCTCAGAGAGTCATACTGTATAAACCAGCCACAAGAGCCATGTTCTATTGCAGATGTTAATATTTCACAGCATGAAGTAACTGGATGCATAAAACAGACTCCTTCTGGAATAAAACATTGCCCAGACCCATGGATATTGTTCAAAACTTTACTTGCCCAAGCTTCTTCAAAAACAGGTACAAAACCATCAAAGACACACCCAAAATATTTCATAAGGTAATGTGCATGTCCAGCATAGTTTCATCTTCTTAGAAATAAAAGACAATTCCAAACACTCCTAGAAGCAAAGGTCTCTCTCTCACACTCCTTACTGCCTCCATTTTGCCCGGAGCGGTATTCATTAACATCTCTTTACTCCCACAGAGCCTGGGAACAAAAGCCCAACTCCGCAAGGTGGCGATTTGCAACTCAATAGCCTCCCGTGTGATTTAAGGTTAAACACCTTGTGACATCTAGCAGAGAACAATAACAGTTTATTATCAACCAGTTAAAGCTCAGAGAGCACTTATTATAATGTAATGGGGGAAAACTCCAATGTTAGCAATACACATTTAGCCATACTCCATTTCAGTGTCGATTAAACAATTGCATTTAAAATGTTCTACCTCAACAATGGGTAAAACAGTCAGCCTGGCATGTGATTCCCAGCAAATGGCATTCGGAGGCATACTGCTTGCAACGGTGGAAGAAGAACACGCTATGCTTCTGAATGCCTCCAAGCTGCATGTTACCATCAGCAAAGGATGAATTGGCATTAGGAGAATCCAGTTTAAACAGAGGTTCTGGACCTTGTGAATGCAAAAGCCTGTTGGTAGATGAGATTAGGTGTCACCTTAAAACGTTTCTGGGAAAGTAAATACAGTACTTAAAAACACTAGATTTATTGTTAGTTCATGTATAGCGGCTATTCGTTTCTCAAACCAGTGCTGCAAGTTTTCCTTTCTTGCAGCTGTGATTTTGAACACTTAGGGACATTTACTATGGGCTACCCTGTACAGGAATCTATCTATAGCGGTAGTTGGAGGAGTTGATGGGTCTTTCTTGTTTGAAGAAGAATGACAACCTCCTGCAAGTTAAACCTGTTTTGAAATCTGGAAATCTGCTTCAGGTAAAGGTGGCGGCTCAGGACTTCTTGCAAGCAGTGCCATGGCACAAAGGAAGTGGCTTTTTTGGTGGCCTTTTCTCCGGTTTTTGTTTTTACACCGATGCAAAGAGAGGGCTTGTTAATCCTTTACACTCATCCTGGTGGCAGTTCCCCCACTGTTCTGCCAGACAATACGGTTTTGATTGCTTTTGCATCCTGCCAGGCTTCCCAACTGTAAAAAATGCATAATCAAAAACGAAAAGACACGTCCAAGACATAAAACCGGAGACGAATGCATTGGGGGGAGTTATATATGTGGATGTCTGTTTGCAGGTAATTAGGGACCAGCGCCTATGAAGGAAATAAAATGAGGGCACTGCATAAAAGCTTTGATTAGCGCGGCAGGATTATAAACGGCTGCTAAAATAACACGGGGATAGAAGGAAAATGGGGGGGGGGGGAGGGAATAAAACTTAAATTAGGAAAGGCTAAAACCATATGATGCAGCTTGCATGGATTTCCATTTATAGCAAAGGCTCTTGAAAGAGCCTTTTCATCTGGCACAGAAACAAACATGAAATATTTCCCTGTTAACAGCTGCAGTCGATAATAAGAGCACCTGAGCAGGCTCCTTTCTGCTGCTTTGGCCTGTTGCTGTGATGATCATTACGCGCTTTTGACCTCGAGCTAATGAAGCAAGAAAGAGAGGCAGAGCCACAGGGAAATGCCAATGATGGAATTAATAATAAATTAAAACGCGAGAAAGCTGGCACTCCTTTCTTTGTGACCCGCGTAGAAAGCTGAAAGAATGCTCTCATGTGTAGAGATGAGGGAAGGGCCACGTGGCTCGGTGGCAAAGCGTCAGCTTTTCATGCAGAAGGCTCCAGGTTCAAGTCCTGCCGGAGGCGTAGTGTGGGGGGTACCGTGGGTACCATTGCCCAGGGTGCAATTTTGAGAGGGGGAGCAAAAGGCGCCCCTGCAGCAGGCTCCTGTTGGGTGTGGGGCAGCCAGCCAGGGATGCGATGGATCAGCGTTTCCCAACCTGGAGTCTCCAGCTGTTTTTGGACTACAACTCCCATCATCCCTAGCTAATGAGACCAATGGTCAGGAATGGTGGGAACCGTAGTCTGGGGGAAAACGGCCGGAGACCCAAGTTTAGAAAACACTGATCTGACTGGAATGTGTCCTTGAATTCTGATAATGCCTCTTGCCTGTCTGAATGGGAGACCGATAAAGGCATGTGTAGAAACTTGCCTACTGTACGAAGGTAAAAAATCCCATTCATTGCTCCGCCCACTTTGGCCTCTGGCCACGCCCACCACTGGCATGCGGCCCCTAAAAGCTCTCGCAGATAGGAAATGCGGCTTAAGGGCTGGCTGGTGGCAAAGGTAGCCAGCTCATGTAAGCAGCCCCTCTATCGATCCTGGTATGCCCCGTGGAGGACCTTAAGGTCCACAAATGACAACATTCTGGAGGTCCCAAGTCACAACGTGGTTAGGTTGGTCTCAGCTAGGGTCAGGGCCTTTTCAGTACTGGCCCCAACTTGGTGGAACGCTCTGTCACAAGAGACTAGGGCCCTGCGGGACTTGACATCTTTCTGCAGGGCCTGCAAGACAGAGCTGTTCCACCTGGCCTTTGGTTTGGACTCAGTCTGACCCTTATGTTTCCCTCCCCTTATGGTTTTGACTTTTAAAATGAGGCTGCATTTTAAATTGCATTTTAACCTGTATTTTAATTTTTTTTTGTTTTTCTTTTTTCCCTTATTATGTTTTTATTGACTTTTTTTTTATGTTAGCCACCCTGAGCCTGGCTCTGGCTGGGGAGGGCGGGGTATAAATAAAATTTATTACTATTACTATTACTATTATTATTTACAGATCATTCATATTTGGTCAAGGCCTGTCCCTAAGAATGGAAAAAAAACCTGTTGTGGATGGAGATTTATATTACGCAGAGGCTGAATTATCACGGCCGAGGAAACGTCAACCTATTGTTCCTTTTGGAATCAGCAAACATGCTTTAAACATAGAAAATAACTAATGAGGGCACACTGTTTTGTTGTAGCTATAATTAATAGTGGAGCGGGGCACCTTTTTCTGTCCCACCTGTTCTGCACACTTAAATTGCTGAGTACAATACTAAGGACCATAATGGTCATTAGGCGCCAGTGACTTGTTTTTCTAGCTGGGCCTACCTATCATTATGCTGAGATTACAATTAGCCACATGATGTCCTGTTAGTTTTGCTCTGCTGCTTGCGCTGAATGGCTGGCTTGCTGGGTTAAAAGACGAAGGAATTGACCTTCCAGCTCTGAGATCCTTACCCTCACCAAGTGTCAGAGACCAGCAGGACGCGGATGAGTGTGTATTGGTAGAAGGGGAACTGGAATCTGACTTGGGAGAGAGGGGTCAGTGATTTGTGGGGAACTGTACTACCCAGGAGGCAAAAATCAGGCAAGGGGACCTTCAGAGCTAGAGGAAGAGGAGGAGGAGGCAGGACAGGCAAGTGAAGATCCAGGTTCTTTCCCACCCTCTCAGACCCTCCAAGTGTCCCTATTTTTCACGGAAGTCCCTACTTTACAGAAGTTGACCCAGTTTCTGATTTGATCCCAGAATGTTCTGCTTTTCCTTAAAGGTAAAGGGTAAAGGGACCCCTGACCATTAGGTCCAGTCGTGGTCGACTCTGGGGTTGTGGCACTCATCTCGCTTTATTGGCCGAGGGAGCCGACGTACAGCTTCTGGGTCATGAGGCCAGCATGATTAAACCGCTTCTGGTGAACCAGAGCAGTGCATGGAAACGTCGTTTACCTTCCCGCCAGAGTGGTACCTATTTATCTACTTGCACTTTGACGTGCTTTCGAACTGCTAGGTTGGCAGGAGCAGGGACCGAACAATGGGAGCTCACCCCGTCGTGGGAATTCAAACCGCCGACCTTCCGATCAGCAAGTCCTAGGCTCTGTGGTTTAACCCACAACGCCACCCGCGTCCCTCCCTGCTTTTCCTTAGGATGTCCCCATTTTCATAGGAGAAATGTTGGAGGGTATAGAGTTATCCGACCCACCGAGCCATCTGAAGGCAGTCCTGTATTGGAAAAGTTAAAAAAAAAAAAAAGTTTAGTGTTTTATTATGTTTTTGTATATGTTGGAAACTACTCAGAGTGGCTGGGGCAACCCAGTAAGATGTGTGGCATATAAACAGTAAAATTATCATGATGGAATGGGACGTCCCTATTTTCACCGGAGAAATATTGAAGGGTATGCCTTCTCCTGCACCACTGTCTCCCAGAACCAGGAGGGGATTGAAAAGGGACAAGTAGAGGAAGTTTCCAAGCAGGCCTAGTCTCTGGCTGCATGTGTGTAGCCAGTTGGGAGAAGGTACATAAACTGGCAGAGGGCAAGTGGTCCCCAGTTACTGCAACTGCTCTGTAGAGCACAGACCTGGGAATAGCTGCCTGGACCTAACAGCAGGTGCTTACCAAAGGAGGTGCGCTGGTCCCGGGGAGTTACCATGTGGCGTGGTCCGAGTCCAGTCCAAGGTCGAGGGTGTGGTATGGGGGCTGTCCGTCAAGGCTGAAGCGGGGTCCAAGGCAAGGAGTCGGGTGTGGTCAGGAACTCTGGCAAAAGAGCAGGACAGGGTGCAGGCAGGAACAGGTTGCCAACAATGTTGCTCCCGCAACCTGGGACTGGGCTGGCTGGCTTTTATCTCCTCTGAGGCATAGGGTGGTCCTGGTCCACAGGTGACTCGCCTCTCCTGGCCTGGAGGCGGGCACTCCTCCTGCGGGAACTTAGTTCCCTCCGCCTCTCTGCCCTGAGCCTCTGCAGCTCCGGAGAGGCTGGAGGGTTACCGGACCCAGAGGGAATCTCACCTTCCCCTGACGGGGCTGAGAGTGGAGCACCTGCAGGCAATGAGTCCTCGATCATCTCCGGAGCCAGAGCAGATTCAGCTGGTGTCTGCTCCTGAGGATCCGGCACAGGTGAGGGCCCTTCAGGTTCAAACCCCAGCCCCGGCTCAGCTGGTCCTAGAGGCGGGGACTCCTGTGCAGGCTGGGATTCCTCAGGTTCAGCCTCTGAATCCGATTCCCAGGCCATCACAGGAGGGAGGCAAAGCTGCAAAGAGGGCAGCATGGTGCAAAAGCAGCTGTACAGTCAATCCAGTGCTCTGGACAATGCATTTGCACTGTGCCACCCTCCTCCCTTCCTTGCCTTCCTCTCCTCTTCCACCCCTTTCCCTTGCCGAATAACCAGTCAGATGGGCAGGGTATAAATAGTAATGTTGTTGTTATAGGAGACATGCCCATTTTCGTCAGAGAAATGTTGGAGGGTATGATACACGTCCAGTTTTAATAATCAAAGAAATAGTTCACAGTCTGCGAAAAGCTGTACAGTGGTACCTCTGGTTACGAACTTAATTTGTTCTGGAGGTCCGTTTTTAAGCCGAAACCGCTCGTAACATGAGGCACGCTTTCACTAATGACGCATCCCGGGGCAAAGTCCACAACAAGGGGCATCTACTTCCTGGTTAGCGGAGCTCGTAACTTGCAGCGTTCGCAAGGAAATACGCAACACGAGGTTCCACTGTATGAAGTGTTCAAGCTCACCTTCACCCCTTTGAATGTCCACTTCTCGTTCATTCTGCATCCTGCCCCCTAAGCAACGCATTTACCCCCATTGTTGAGCCAAGCTTGGAGAGAGTCACTTGTGTTGAACTTGCCGCGGTGATAAAAGAAGCAGAGGCCAGTCACATTTCATTTCCACGGGGGAACAGATCAGTTTACTCATCTGAAAACTGCTGCCGAACGCAAGTTTTCCTCCATGCCTAGAAAATGGCTCGGGGGTTTGTTTCTGTTTTTCTGCAAGAAAGCAGGCCAGTTCGCAGTTGCGAGCTGCAGAGCGACTGGGCCGGCGGAGAACATTGATACTAGCTTTTTAATAGCCCGCTTGCTGCACACTGAGCAATATCCCGTTCCCACAGTGCAAAGTAGCCTACAGTCATACTTAGCAAGGTCTAAGACACCTTCACGCAAAGCGCTGGCTGGCTAAGTTAAATAAATTCTTTGAAATTTAGAATGCTGCCTTTTAAGGTGTTTCAGCCATCTGAAACAGTCTTCCTACCTACCCAGTTCCTTTAAATCTCTTGTTCCTTCCCGGCTCAAGTTGCTTTTCAGATGTGAGGGAGGGCAGGACAGTAGTCTTGCTAGGCAGCTAGGAATCAGGGTTGCTGTTTGCCCTTGAAATCAAATCCAAAACTTAAACCCTCTCTAAAGTCCTCATAAAAATTCATTGGCGTCTTAGTTCAAAGTTCTCCTAATATATACGGTGGTACCTTGGGTTACATACGCTTCAAGTTACATACGCTTCAGGTTACAGACTCTGCTAACCCAGAAATAGTGCTTCAGGTTAAGAACTTTGCTTCAGGATAAGAACAGAAATCGTGCTCTGGCGGTGCGGCAGCAGCGGGAGGCCCCATTAGCTAAAGTGGTGCTTCAGGTTAAGAACAGTTTTAGGTTAAGAACAGACCTCCGGAACGAATTACCGGTAAGTACTTAACCCGAGGTACCACTGTACATTCTTCTAAGCTAGTTTGCCTAATATATAGATTTCCTCCCCAAAGCACTTTTTTCCGATACAATGCATTCTTATAGGTGTGAAGGAAATGGATTGTTTAAAAAAAGGACCCTGTATTGTGGTTTGTTTGGGGATTATGGATTTAACTTGTTAAATCTTGTTAGTTCAGGGACCCCCTTCCTACTTGTTTTAAAAATGTTTTTTTATAGAACATTTCAGCATGAAAGAGACATATCCTTTGTATCAGGATAGGGAGCCCACAGTCTCTTGTCCTTTAATCTCTGTACAATGCTTATTAAACATGTGGTGCTTTACAAACGAATAATAAGAATACGGTGCAGCTTC